CGTGTGCGTGCCCGTGAGCTGCAAGCCCGAGTGTGTGCCCTCCTGCCAGTCCTCCACGTGCGTGCCCGTGAGCTGCAGACCCACTGTGTGCGTGCCCGTGAGCTGCACACCCACCGTGTGCGTGCCCGTGAGCTGCAAGCCTGAGTGTGTGCCTTCCTGCCGGCCCTCCTGCCCCACCCTGGTCTGCAGACCCGTGTGCTGTAGCTCCCCGTGCTGCTTCTGACCAGGGGTCTCCTAACACCTGCTCCGGGGGCAGAGGGGGCTCCACCCGTGCCCCTCCGGTGAGGACCAAGTCTTCGCCGGGCCTCCGGTTCTGCGCGTGGCAGGTCAAACATTCCCGATGAATCGTCTGAACCCTGGGGCGAGGACGGAGCAGGAGGAGCCGGATCCCCCTGTGACCCTGCGTGTCTCCGCCAGGGTCCTTCTCTGTCTCCGGCAGGGAACCCAGCCCGTGTGAGCCCAATAAATCGTGCCTTCCTGAGGCAGCTTGCCCCTGTCTTATTTTCACAGACTTTGAAGTTCTTTCCTCGACGGCATATACAAACCATAAGTGCGGCCGCCCCTCCTCAAAGAGCCCCCTTTCCAACAGCTCAGCTGGAGGTGGGGGCTCCTCGGAGGCCGCAGGGGGGCGGTGCCATCCACACACCCACCACAGAGACTCACACTGCAGAAGGGGAAGTGCAGGGGTAACCTGCCCCGCTGAACAGGGGCCGGGAATCGGGCCGGGCGCCGGGCCTGACGTGGTGCCTTCGAGGATCGCTACAACAGGGAGGGCGGGGAAGCTCGCACGAACCCACCCCCACTACAAAGGGGAGTCTGACCATCCCGGGGAGGAGCAGCCGGAAGTGAGGAAGCCTCGCCCTCCAAGACCCAGGCCCACGGGCCTGCTCAGGACTGACCCGGGGCAGAACAACAGGGCCCTCCGGCCCCTGGCTCGGCCTGGCCGGCACGGCTGCAGGAGCAGCAGTGGTCACTGGGGGAGGCAGGCATGTGGAGGGTCCCCTCCGTGGGCGGGGCACATAGGGGTTGCTGGAAACTTAGGGCAGAGCAAGAACTCTGCGCCTCCAGCCCTCGCCCTGGGCACACGGCACTGGAAGCCCAGCACGAAGGAATCCGAAGTCTTAGGTACCTTGAAGGTCATCGCAAGAACAGCAACGCCCAAGCCAAGGTCAACATCTGAGCAGGCTGATCGAAACTTACCCCCCACCACCCTGGTGACCTGACAGAAGAGACTCACCCGTTTCCAGGAAGAAACACTGGGTATGTCCCTTTCAATTAATACAAGATATCTGATATGCAATCAAACATTAGAAGACATATTTTAAAAAAGCAAGGAAAAAACTCAATCCATTTTCTAAGAACAAAGCAATCAACAAAACTAGACTCAAAAATGACACAGATGTTGGAGCTATCAGACAGAAACATTAAAATAATGATGTTGAGCAAAATAAGTTGGAGAAAGACAAATACTGTATGATCTCACTTATATGTGAATTCTACAACACAAACCAAAGGAAAGAAAACAAAATAAAACGAGGTGATAAATACAGAGAAGATACTGATGTTTTCCAGGGGTGGGGGGTGAAATGGGTATGGGGTCAAAAGATACAAATTTCAAGTTACAAAATTAAAAAGTCCTCAGGATGTAATGTATAGCATGGTGACTATAAAAAAAAGTGTTTATATTTAAAGAAATTAGGGAGAGAAATGTAAATATGAAAACAGAGTAAATGTATTAAACTAAAAGAAATAGACTTGAGGGAAACAAAGAGAACTTCGAGAAATCAAAAAAGTCAAGTGATGGAAATTAAAAACTCCGTGGACAACTTAAAACAGAATATTAGACACAGCTAAAGAGAGAATTAGAAAAATCAGAAGGCAGGTCCAAAGAAAGCATCCAGCATGCAGCAAAAGAGAGTCAAAGTGGCAAATAGGTAAGAGATGTTAAGAGTTGCAAATATTTATGGAGGACACGTGTGGTAAATCCATAAATAAAAGCATGAGAGGGGCGCCTGGGTGGCGCAGTCGGTTAAGCGTCCGACTTCAGCCAGGTCACGATCTCGCGGTCCGTGAGTTCGAGCCCCGCGTCGGGCTCTGGGCTGATGGCTCAGAGCCTGGAGCCTGTTTCCGATTCTGTGTCTCCCTCTCTCCCTGCCCCTCCCCCGTTCATGCTCTGTCTCTCTCTGTCCCAAAAATAAATAAATGTTGAAAAAAAAATTAAAAAAAAAAAGCATGAGAATGACGAATATTAAATTTAGGATGATAATTACCTGTGGGGTGGAGTGAAGCACTGAATTGTCTGGTGCAAAGAAGGCTTCTAATTAATTAACTAACTGTGAATAATACATAAATTGGGTTCTTGGACCCAATTTTCATATAGGTGTGAGAAGGCTTCCCCACACCTCCAACAAACAGTGCTCTGGGACACCCTCCCAGGGTGTCTTGGAATTCAACTCAGTTCTGACACTACCTACTTGGAGACAGTGTCAGATCCCACAGGTTAATGGCTCCGTCCTAGAGACTGACCCCCACGCCACTTCAGATGCCTGCAGCAAGCTGAGCTTGTCACCTGTGTTTCTGACCAACCAGCTCCAGATCAGAGGTCCTTGGGTTCAACTGATTTGTTTAGAGCAG